TGAGGGGTTTATCTGTCCCGGATTCCTTGTGTTTCCAGCTCTTATTTGTACCCGTGGACATGCTCGGCTCTAGCCAGATTTGTAAGGTAGAGTTGGTCATGATAGTGGGATGGGGGGGAGTCTGAAAGCTATTTTTGCTCAATCGTTTTCCACACTAGTCCTGGTAACCGGCCTGATGCCTAGATGTCCCGCTGGGCCAAGCTCCTACTCTTTGCTAAGTTTTCCCAATGTTATCTGCTTTGCTAGGCTACTGAGAATTGTATTCCAGTTAAAAGTGTGTCTTTGTCTTCTTTTCTTCATCTTTGTACATTTTATAATTTATTTTATTTTTGTTATGGAGAATCCATCCACTCATGCAATGTTGTCTACATGTACAATTCAGTGACATTGATTACATTCTTCAAGCTATGCAATTGTTCTTTCCCCATGAGCACACCACACGCGCTGTCCCCTAAAATTTCAATGAACCCTTTTTAGTGGAGTTGTTGTCAGTTTGATCCCACACCCCCAAACCAAACCAACCTCACCACCACGAGTCAATTCTGACTCATAGTGACCCCACAGCACAGAGGAGGACTGTTTCTGAAGACGGAGCTCTTACAGAAGCAGAAAGCCTCATCTTTCTTCTATGGAGGAGCTGTTGGGTTCAAACCCCTGGCCTTGTGCTTACCAGCCAAACTTGTAACCTACTATGCTACCAGGGCTCTTTGATCCCATATAGATAATATGTAAAAGTAGATAATATTCAAGGCAGACATTTTTTACGACTTAAGCTGAACTATTGTTTAGTTTTAAGAAGACTTTAGGGAATATTTTTTATTTAAAGTTTAAAGATTATCTCAGGACAATAGTTTCAGGGATTCATCCAACCTTCTTGGCTCCAAAAAATCTGGAGTTCATGAGAATTTGAAGTCTGTTCTGCATTTCTGAGACCAAGATTCTTCTGTAGAATCCAAAAAGTTTTGGAAAAGACTAAATAAATGTATAACACCTAGGAGACTACTCAGGAAAGAGAGAGAAAGCAGAAATGATAATACCATAAGTAGGGCTCATTATAGATAATATAGGTATTTCCAAGATCAGAGAGTACTATGACAATATTATGCCAATAAATTTAACATCTCAGAAAAAATCCTTAAGCAATCGAACAAACAAAAACACCTTGTCAAACCTGAGACAAGTGAATAGAAAGCTAAAGTGCCTGCTATCCAGTTGACAAATGGAATTCATAGTTAAAAATCTTTCCACTAAAAAGCAAGTGAACCTCCATGGCAGGGGTTCTCAACCTTCCTAATGCCGTGACCCCTTAATATACTTCCTCATGTTGTGGTGACCCCCAACCATAAAATTATTTTCGTTGCTACTTCATAACTGTCATTTTGCTACTGTTATGAATCATCATGTAAATATCTCATATGCAGGATATATTTTCAATGTCACAAATTGAACATAATTAAAGTATAGTGATTAATCACAAAATAATATGTAATTATATATTGTGAAATATTTATTTCTAATGACAAATAAATGAAATTTTGTCTTGAAGCATGGTGTAGCATGGGTAACAGTCTTCACGCTGGGTACTCGTATGTGGGCATATATCTGCATGTAGTTGGACCCGTCTAAAGCCAGATAGAGAAGTAGTGTCTAGGTTCCTAAGACCATCGGAAATATGTGTTTCCTGATGGTCTTAGGTGACCCCTGTGAAAGGGTCATTCTATCCCCAAAGGGGTTGCAACCCACAGGTTGAGAACCATGGCTCTACAGTCATAGGGTTGTACTGGTGAGTCACGTCAAACATTTAAGGAAGAGATCATGCGATCCACACACCAGCACATCAGAAAATCCATCAGAAAGAAAGCATTGTTTTTCTTATACGATGAGGCAAGCATAACCTTGGATCCCTGAGAAAGTAAGAAAAAAATTACAGCTCCCCATGCTTCATAGACGTAGATTTAAAAATGTGCCACAAAATACGAGCCAACCAAAGTCAGCACTAGCTGAAAGGGATAGCGCATCATGATTAAGTGTTGACTCAACGTTTAAAAAACAATCAATGAAGTGCAATACATTAAAGGAGACAAGTCATAGACCATAGCAAGACATGAAGAAATGGAATATGACAAAATTCATCACCAACTTAAACTAAAAACTCTTAGCTAATTAAGAACAGAAGATAACTTCAGTTTGATAAAAAGACATCTCTGGAAAGGCTACAGCTAAAATCAAACTTAATAGAAATTTATGAACAAAGGAAGGCTCTCTATTCTCTCCTTTCTGTTCAGCATGGCACTAGAAGTCCTCACCAGTGCTACAAAAGATGAGAAAGTAAAAAACAAAAGACAGATTTGAAAAAAGAAGTAAAGTGGTCTTCAGCTATTTTCAGATCACATGATATTTTTGCGTAGAAAATTAAAAGAATCTACAAATACCTACTAGGATTAATAAGTGAAATTGAACTACAGTCCACATGGTCGATATATATTTTAGCATTAAATAATAGGAAAAACGAAAATGTAAAGAGTAATACACAATAGCATATAACACACTTAAGAATTAATTTGATGGATGAGCCAGTCACGGTGCAGTGTAGCACCAATGAAACACACAATTTTCCTCTAGTTCCTGAATGCTTCCTCCCCATCCCCCCAATTCTCATGACTTCAGTTCTACCTTACAAATCCAGCTAGACCAGAGCATGTACACTGGTAGAGATAAGAGCTGGAAACACAGGGAATCCAGGACAGGTAAACCCCTCAAGACCAACACTGAGAGTAGCCATACCAGGAGGGGAAGGGGAAGGTAGGGGGAGAAAAGGGGAACCAATCACAATGATCTACATATAACCCCTTCCCAGGGGGATGGACAACAGAAAAGTGGGTGAAGGGAGACAGCAGTCAGTGTAAGACATTAAAAAAAAAGTATAAATTATCAAGGGTTAATGAGAGAGGGAGGGTGAGGGAGGGTGAAAATGAGGAGCTGATATCAAGGGCGCAAGTAGAAAGAAAATGTTTGAAAATGATGATGCCAACATATGTACAAGTGTGCCTGACACAATGGATATATGTATGGATTGTGATATGAGCTGTAGGAGCCCCCAATACAATGATTTTTAAAAATTTTAAGAATTACTTTAATGATGGAAATCTAAGATTTCTGTGCTGAACACTGTAAAACAGTATGGAGACTAATGAAAAGAGACCTAACTAGATGGAGATAATGTTCTTTGATTTCAAGAATCATATTGTTAAGATGTCATTGTTGTCCAAATTGATCCGAGATTCAGTGCAATTACGATCAAAATTTCGGCGGGATATTTTGTAAAAATAGACAGGCTGATTTTAAAATTGATATGGAAATATTAAGCATGTAGAATAGTCAATGCCATCTTATAAAAAAGGAACAGAATTAGAGGACTCGTGTGACTGTATTTCAAGATTAACATAAAGCTACAGTATGAGGTCACTGTTGTACTGATACATCAAACAGGCCAGAGACACCATAAATGGGCTAATAGATGTAGAGTCGATTAATTTGGAGCAAATGTGACAAGATTATTTAATAGGGAAACAATAGTTTTCTTCTTATATTTTCCCTAATGAGTGGACCTTAAACAGCTAGATGCTTGTAAATATAAAAAAGTGAATCAAATCCCCAATGCCTATCTTACATAAAAGTTAATTTGACATGAAGCACAGAATTAAACATGAAAAACAGAACTACAAAAATTTTGAAAGAAAACACAGAGGACTATCTTTGTGGCAATGGAGTAGACAGAGATTTACCAGGACACACAAAAATGCATGTCCATTTGTCAAAACCCTCACAGTCAACTACACATTTATAATCTGCTTTCAAATTGGTTTCTAAAAAAACCCAAACACAGCCTTTGTTCTAGTACTGTTGGCAATAAGTTAGAAGTGTTGGCAGATACCGATCCCTTCCTCATCACCCCACACAGGTTAACGATGGTCTCCTGGGTCCAGACAGAGATAATGGCACCTGGCATCTAGACCTCTCTCACTGCCAAGCATTTCAGTAATGCCAGGCAGAGGAACATCTTTTCTGTTCTTAAAAACATACAGAAAGCCAAACAAAAATAACACCCCCCACCAAATCTCTCATTTCATAACCTGTTCAATGATGGAAAATTCATTTTTTACTGGCATATAATCCACATATCATACAATTCAATAGTTCAAGAAGAGTTTCACAATCATCACCATAACCAGCTTTAGAGCATTTTCTTCATTCTCATCCTCAGTGTTATTAGCTCCCCATCCCTGCCCCCCACCTCCCAAATTTCCTCTGCCATACTTCCAAGGAATCATTAATCCAGGACTGTCTCTATAGATTTACCTACGGATTTCATAGACAGAAACACATTAAAAACAAAACCCCCAAACTCACAACCCTAACAAAGCAAAACAGATAAAAATCTCAGTCGAAGAGAAAACCTTGCCAGGAAATTCTGCTTTAGATCATGTCTGATTTAAATCTCTCATGCTGTGCTGTGCTGATATTTCTATTGGTTCTTTAAAAAAATTATATCTATATATCGTATAATACTTGCCAGCTCAACCCTTTTACATGTCCAATTCAATGACACCAATGATATCAGTGATGCTGGGCATGATTAACAGCTCGGCTGCCAAGCTTCCCGTTGCCACAAACAGACTGTTCACACGGGCTTGGTCATCATGAGTTACCATCGGCTTGATGGGGACGGCAATGTTGTTTATCTGTTTATTGTTCCTTGAGACAGTAGAGCCTTCCAGTCTGAACACGAGCTTCTCTTGGGCAGCTGTGTCTCTTGGGCAGCGTTTGGAGGCTTGGTGGTTTGCCAGAATGCAGTCCTCCCTATGAGGAGTCCCGCCCGGAACCCCCATAGCACTCTTCCATGGCGCTACTGGGTGATGCCACTGAGATCCTTGAAGAAGTTGAATGAGAAGGTCCTTGAAGTTGACTGACAGTGCTGCCTTTCTTCCCTTCCACCCCAGGAGATGCTGAAGGATGAGGTGCGCACGCTCACGTACCGCAACTCCATGTACCACAACAAGCACGTGTTCAAGGACAGGGTGGTGCTGGATGTGGGGAGTGGCACCGGCATCTTGTCCATGTTTGCTGCCAAAGCCGGAGCCAAGAAGGTGTTTGGGGTGAGCATGCCACTCCCTTCCTCACGGTGGCCTCCGCACAGCTGGTCCCTCGTCCCTCTGGTAGTGTGTGCCCTTCGAAGAAGGGTGAGTCCTGATCCACCCCTACTGCTGAGAAATACAGTGGGTCCAGGTTCAGAGGCGCATTGAACATGACCAAGCCGGTTTCCAATAAGTCCGTGTGGCTCCTGGTGACCCACCCCTGTGTGTCAGAGCAGAGCGTTGCTCTGTAGGGCACAGGGTATCAATGGCTGATTTGGGGGAAGGAGATCATTAGGCCTTTCTTTTGAGGTGCCTCTTGGTAGACGCCAACTGCCAACCTTTCTCATGGTGGCCAAATGGAGTTGGCCAAATGGTAACCCAGATGGTTCCGGGAGATAAAGTTACTGGTGGTTACTATTGAGTGACTCCCAGAGGGCCGGACAGGACAGGCACCCATGATTCACAGTCACTGGACATGGATGGCTCTTTGATCTGCACCCTGGTGACTGGTGGATCTTTGGAGCATCTTTGACTTTTCTGAGGCCAATCCAATGTCACCATTACTTTATACTGTCTGGTTCCCATCTACGTGCTTGTAGTGAGGGGTGAACCCTGGTTAGGATCTCTGCTCTAACGTGGACTATTCACTCCTCTGGACCTCAATTCCCTCACTTGTAAAATGAGCCTGATCATAGCACTTCACCCACTGAGCAAGTGAGGGGAAACCCTAAGTTTAGTATCGACGTAAAGCAGTGGTTCTAAACCTTCCTACTGCTGCAACCCTTTCATACAATTCCTCATGTGGTGCTGATTACCCAACCGTAAAATTATTTTCATTGCTACTTCATAACTGTAATTTTGCCACCATTATGAATCAGGCGACCCCGGTGAAAGGGTCATTCGACCCCCAAAGGGGTCACGACCCACAGGTTGAGAATTTCTGATGTAAAGGTTTTACCAAAAATGCCTGGCATATACAAATGACCAATATTTACTATTATAGTTGAGATGGGACTCTAGGGAATAATAAGAGAAACATCGCCTTCCTTTTTTTTTTTCTTTAAAGAACAAGATGGTAGTTTTAAATTCTGCTGCTTGAGGTGGGAGATCCCAAGGACAGGTCCCCAAGCAGACCATTGTAAGACACTGTGGGGTTGAGTCAGATGCATGGGGCCCCCGTATGACAGAACAGAACTGATCCCATAAGGTTTTCTTGGATGTTATTTTGACAAAAGCAGATTTCCAGTCTTTTTCCTGTGGAGCTACTGGGTAGATTAAAACCATGAACCTTTGGATTAGCAGCCAAGCATTTAGCCATTGCAGCATAAGGGCTCCTTTCAGGCTGTCTAGCACTCTCCAAGTCCCCTTGATGACCCCTGTCCCCAAAGGCTTGGCTTTCTGTCACCCATGGGGTTAGCTTTCTCCCTCCCTTCCTGCCTGTCTTAGAAAGTATGTGGCTCACAGCTGTGGAGGAGCTTCCAGCAGTGAGGTGTTCTTGGGGTACACTGGCATGGCCTAGCTTGGGAGAAGCTGTGCTCCCCCCACCTGCGGTACAGGTTGGGTATGGGGAGCCACTCATTCTTGTACTTCCCACTGTCCTTCATAAGGCCCTCGTTATCAGGGAAGGCTCAACTCCCAAAGAGGCCATGGCCCATGACCATGGGTGATGTCCACACAATTTCTCTCTCAGCACCGCCTCCCAGGTCCTGCCTCAGGGCCAGCTTCAGCTGGACCAGGGATGGCAGAGGGCTGAGTAGGTGCCACATTGGCTTCACGCAGCCTGTCTGGAGGCTCCCACGGGGCGCCTTCCAGTGGTGGTGGATCCTCTTGGCATCACAGCTGTTTATAAGGAGCTCCACCACATTTAGCTGGGCTTCTCTCCGAATGGCTCATTTCACAGTTTCTCCTGTTCCAGGCTCCCTCTCCCACCCACTGCTCTTCTAGAAAGAGAGACAGAGAGAGAGAGAGAGAAATAAAAAAGAGACAGAGAAGAGATAGAGAGGGAGGGAGGGGGACGGGAGAGAGAGAGGAAGAGAGACCCCCAGCAGAGACACGAGACATAAACAGACATGAAGAGGGAAGTGGAAAGAACCGGAAAGATAAAAATGCTCCAAGAGGTGAATGAGAGAGAGATAAAAAAAAAGGGGGGGGGCGGACCAAAGAGCAGGAACCCAAAGGCCTGAGAAAAAGAAAAGAAGGGAGCAAAGGAACAGAAAACCAGAAAGCTGGAGAAAGTCAAGAGAGTAACCATGCTGGCTCCAGGTCCTACAAGCAGCTCTGCGCTCGACACGCAGTGGCTCATTTAAGCCCCACCGCCACCGTCCGAAAGAGAGGCTGTGATTTTTCTCATGAGGAAACAGGCACGGTTAAAAAGGGGCAGAAATCCAATGTCCGCCCAGGCTGGCTGGTGCCGGGTCCCCAGGTCTTCATCACTAAATGAAGTAGCCTCTTGCAGATGAGACCATCCGCTGGGACCATCAGGGAGAGAAACGCGGAGGACGGAGACACAGGTCTCCAGGTCCGGCTCGTGCTGGAAAAGCTGGGTCTCCTGCAGGGAGGAGCCCAGGCCAGGGTGTGTCTCCTTGGGTGCTGCACTAACAGAGGGGCGCTCCCCTTCAGCACAGCGTGTCCTCGCCTCCCCCAGGCATTCACGGAGGCCACCACCAACTGCCCCCATGCCCCTAAGCAACTTCTGGTGGACATGGCTCCAAGGTGGGGCTCCCAATGTGGCAGTGAGTGCCTCCCAGAGCCTCAGCATGGGCCAGCCCCTGGGGGAAGAACACCCAGGCCGGGAGCTCCTGGAAGCTGCCTCTCTGTGGTCTGCAGGCCCTGGCTCTCCCTGGCAGCCCCAGACCTCCAGTCCCCAGCCTGGGGCTTCATCTCCAACCACTCGGACTCCAAGCAAGGTCTTGCTCTAATTGAATAGTCAACTCTCCAATGGCCCTTTGCTTAGACGCCTTTGAAAGCCTGCATATCTTCCAGATGAACAATAACACATCAACTTGCAGGTGGAGACAGCAGAGGAGGAACAAACATATGTGGAAAGGGGGTCTTGAGATTGGCCCTAAAAGCCCCAATTGGGCATTCTTTCCCGTGGCCCACAACCTGCAGTGTGTTCAGGAGAAGCAGAGCGACTCTGGCCATGGCCTGCCTGGCCCATCCTCTCTGGGAGAACAAGGTCTATGCCACCTCATCCCATTCTCCTCCAGCCAGGGGAACAAGGCTGTCAGCTCCTCCCGCATCACCCAACCCGAGACCAGGCCCCTACCTACCCCGGGGCAGGAGTTGGAGAAAGGTGGTATGGTTTAGAGGAAGGGTCTTCAGTCTGGGTGTCAGGAAGGTTGAGTTTTCATGTGAGATCGGCTATGAATTGACTGTCCAGCCTCGGGTAAGTCACTTGACCTCTTTGGGTCTCAGCTTCACCATAGTTGAAGAGCCCCAGTGCCCCTTTGGCCTTGGACGTCCTGGGGTGTGTTTTCATGCCTTGCTCCTTTGTTCTGTGCCCTTCCTAGATCGAATGCTCCAGTATTTCGGACTACTCAGAGAAGATCATTAAGGCCAACCACTTGGACAACAGTAAGACATCCCCAAGTATCTTGCCACAAATGGAGGGGTTGAATGGGTCTTCCCTTGCTTGCATGGGTTGTGCAGACCGGCATATGGAGGGAAGAGTAGAGAGTACTTGAACTTGGGGAAAGTGGAGCACCCGTGTTAGCAGGACTGTAAACTGTGGGTGTCCATGGCTCCCACATGCCACTGGACATTGTCATTTCCTTACTGGCTTTGTGCCAGCTTTGGACAATCTGTTGAGTTCTACGCAGTGGCCACCATTCCTCTCCTTCCTTCCCCTCTCCACAGCTCCCATCCTGCCTCGCCTCATTCCCCATCCAGTGGCCAAGTGGCAGACCTCACACCCCATGTGTGGAGGGACAAGGCCCTCCCCTGGCTGGAGGGGGTGTGTTCGCAGTGGGGCTCCTCTCAGAAGTGGGACCCTCCTTAAGCTGGAGACTGGTTAAAGAGAGAGGCAAGCCACTGCTCTTCCGCTCCCCGCTCCTTTCCTATGGACCGAATGTCCCAGCCTGGCCGTCTGTAGCTCATCTTGAATATGCTCATACCCGCAAGTGTTCCCTGCTTAGAAGATTGCTGTGTCTTTGCCAATCAAACGGGTTGGGTCTAGTGCCGTGACCCTGTGCTCCACACTGGGAGAACTTCAAAGGAAGGAAGGGCAAGCGATGGTCCCTGCTCTTCCAGTGGTCATCAGGGGAGACGGGGTGAGGGGTGCGGGTAGAGCGCCTCAGAGCACTCAGATTCCTTGGGGCTAGGTGCTGGAGGTACGGTGATGAACACGCACAGACCCCACCCCAGCAGCTCAGTGCAGTCAGGCAGGGTGCTGCGTAGACAAGAAGGTGCCGTCCAGGGGACTAAGTGGGAGCAGAGCAGCAGGGGGATCAGCATCCTGAAAGCGCCTCCTGTAGCAGTGGGCCTGGGAAAGAAACACTACTTTCAAAGGAGCTCCAAAGTAGAGTTCCACAGGGCAGAAAGAATGAGACTTGCTGGTATGGACCTTTCCCAGAGGCGTTGGGGTGAGGGGACAAGTTGGCAGACCTGGGTCAGGAGAAAGAAAGTTACCGGAACCAGAGGCAAAGATAGGGAGCAAGGAATCTCTGACTTCAGTGTCCTCCCTGGGCACTGAGGTGTGCCTGCTGCCTCTGCCCCCGCAGGGTCAGGACACTCTTTCTACCCGTGCCGCCACTTCAGCTGCAAGCTCCCTGCTCATGTCCCAGACCTCTTGTGCTCCCCCACAGGGTGCCTGCTGCCCAGACACCCCTTGAGGCCCACTTTTGGAAAGCAAGGTGGTAAGGCTGTGTGGCCCCTGCGCTGCTGCCTGGCCCACTTGCTATAGGCCCTTTGGAAGAGCAGGAATGTGCTCACCCATTCATCCAATAGACATCTGTGAGTGCGGTCATGAGCCAGGCTCCGGAGCTCAAAGCAATCAACGAGACTGACCAGGCCCCTGACCTTAAAGATTCCACCTCCCAGCTGGAGGATCCAGAGAGTAACCAAATATAAAAACACTCAAACCAAAGTATCAGGTGGTGATAAGTAATCCGAAGATCGTTACAGCAAGGTGGTCGGCTCGATGGATGCTCTTTGCACATGTAAACTGGCTGAAGGGGCTGAGCTGACAGAGATCAGGGGGCGAGAGGCCCAGACGGAGGGAAGAGCCAGCACAACGTCCTTCAGGCATGATTCAGCTCAGCGTGCTCAAGGGACCAAAAGAAGGCCAGCCTGCGCTGGGGACTGAGAGCCGAGGAGAAAGTAGGACAAGCTGTGACAGAGAGGAGGCCCCGGCCGGACTTGGTAGAAAAACAAACTTGGGTTTGATTCTAGGCAAGGGGGAGGATTTTAGGGCAGGGAGGAGGATGGCTAGATGTGTGTTTATTAGAAAGCTCTCCCTCTGACTGAGGTCGGGAGGGAGGCCGGAATGG